ATAGCACCAGGCAAGTGACCCGACGGTGCACAGAGCAAAGGCCACCTGCATTGTACGGTGCCCGGCCTCCCCTCCCAGCCCCCGCCCTACTGGGGTACTGCTCCAGGAGATGCGCTCGTACCGAAACTTCTGCACCGCAGCCTCATCCTGCTCCATAAGCCTGGGTTTCCCTCCGAGCCGCATGGAGTATGTCAAATCCACCACTTGTTCCCAGCTGGAACAGCCCCAGCGGAGGAATTACACAGGGGAAAAGATGGGTCAGTGCTCAGCGTGCTCCAGCAATTACCACCTTAGCCGTTAAGACAGCAGCACCCAGGGGCCAGGTGTTCAGCCAGAATCTCAGTGGTACTGAAACACCCTGACGTCTACCCTGCACGGGCACCGCCAGAAGCAAGCACAGGTAGCCTGAGAGGCGGCACCACCCTGCACGCAGGCCCTTTGGCAGGGACATTTGTCTCACCTGCACTGGAGGGAGTTAGTGGGGCTGTGCTGGGTGTGCCCAAGAAATTTGGGACAGGTGGGCCACACGTCCTCTGCAGGGTGTCAGCCACACGCAACTCAGCAACACATGCACCATTGTCCCCTGGCTGGGAGTGCCATGCAGCAGGCTCAGGCCATACCTGACCGCGGGTTTATAATCAACCCCAAACATTTGCTGCTGCCACTGGATCCTCTCCACAGTCTTGACTGGGACCAGCTTATCTCCTCCCTCTCCAAATCTCTGCGCCAGGAGCCAGCCCTCCTCCAGGTCATGGCAGCCCTTGTGCTCTTCTAGATGCTCCTGAAATCACATCCGGACTTGTCACAACTGCCTGGAGCCAGTGCCCCAAATCAGCTCCTTGCCGCATCACTGGGGCTTGTCCCACTTGGGTGCTGCAAGAAGATTATTCAGAAGCTGGGCTGCTTCATGACACAAAAGGGTCCTGGGGCCACTGATTTCAAGGCCCTGAAGGACTGTGACAACTGTGCAGAGACACCTGGACGTCACCCAACCTGGAACAGCCAGGCCCGACTTTTGGGAAGCAGTAAGATCTGAAGAAGTGATGGAGGATGAATCCACCTCGTGTGCCTCTCAACTTAACCCAGCTCCCTCCTTTCCCCGGTAAAACTATTCCTTGGTCCCGCTCTCCCAGCCGTGCTGTGCCCCACAGGAGCCCCTGCGCTGCTCCCATGCTCAGCGTCCCCCTCCTTCACCGCCGGTCACAAGCCCGGTCCCAA